TATTTTTCTGATATTAATCCATCAACTGCCAGCTAATTCTCAAATATATAGAAGAAACTTGTTTTAAGAGTTTGTTGGGTCTGTAAAGGCGTTCAAGACAATTATCTCGGCTTGCTTGAAGGGTCTGGAAGATGATCTACGATTTTATAACGAGCCTGCATGCGAGTGTGAGAGTGGGCTGTGGTTTATATTCCACCCTGCGGTATTAATTCTGTTCCTCATCTGATTAGCGAGACTTCCTGTAATGCAGTGACATAATGCAGATGTTCATAGGTGGCCAGTGAGAGGATTAGTCAAGGTCTGGTGACATAAAAGGGAGAAGTTTAATAAATACTGCACACAGTGAGCGTCTCGTGTGTGAATGTGTTGTCCGTGTGCAGTGTGCCAATGCTAAGTGAAGGGAGCAGAGGTTGTCTGTCACCTGTCACCTGACTGCTCACCTGTGAGTAGGCTACCTGCAGCTGTCTGCGCCATCTGTTTCCTACATGCTTCTGATATTATGCATGGCAATTTTCTAAAACCAGGAGCAGCGAACACCTAAAATCACATATTATATACAACACAGTCCATCACACATCTTACAATAATACAAATATATCTGTTTATTCAGTAATATGTAGTAATAAGACACACCCCCTTCCTCCTCCTAACCCAGAGATGTATAATTGCTCTAGAAACGTACACAGGATGGCAAGTTGGAGGCCAGGAGAGGGTGCTAAGGAGATCCTGTGCTCTGTAAAGGGGACTCCTTGCCTAGTATTTCCAAAGTGGCATGCATGCAGTAGAGTCCCAGTACTCTCCCAGGTGTGTCGGCTTCCAGAGCAGCACTTCTGCCATGCTGGTTAGGGGCGCAGGGGATGGCCAAATGACCCAGGCTGTTAGTCTGTGGTCAGCCTTCGTTGAGTCTCCGCGCAGGCCTCCATGCTGATTCGTAGGGCAGGTGTGTGTTGCTCCGCCTCCAGTGGCTGTCAGCCAATCAGCCTGTTCCTGCATTCACTGTAAGATCAGGGGCGGGGCTTAAGCAGGAAGCCGCATTCCGTTTGGCAGTTACTGCCACACTCAGGCAAGCCCTGGCTAGTGGAAGACTTTGCTTTTTCGGAAGACGAGAGGACAGGGAAGAAAAGGACTGGCTTGTTTTCTTTTCATTTCGTTTGGAAGACCTGATCAGAAAAGGGTGCGTTGGCTTTTAGGTTTCAGTTTGAGATTTTTTTCTTTTCTTTTTTGCTTAAAACTAACAAATCATGTGTTTAAGTATGGGTAAGGAGGTCTTAAAAGTCCAATTAGTCCATAAAAAATATAGCAGTAAAAGAAAACAATCAAACAAATACAAGGTTTCAGGTTCATACATATTTTCCACTAGATATAAAAGCAAATTTCAAGGAAGTACCCATCAGTTCTTTAAAATGACATTTTTACTGCGGGTAAAATGGCCTTCGGTTGCAATTAATATTACAATTGAATAAAAACAAATACAAAAAGGAACTCAAATCTGTACATGTCCAAAGTCCTTATGGCTCACAGCAGTTTTGGCAAGACCAGGCAATCCATCTCCCCAAAAGCACCCATTTACAGTACTGTCATAATTTTTTGATTGCATTTAATATTACTTTTTAATCATTCTTTGATTTATATACACATATTGTTCTCTTTTACTCCTCTGAGATAGATAGTATGAAATCAATTTTTCATCACAAAAATACAGCATGAAAATTTCATAAGTGTTCCCTTGATCGTCACTCTTTTTGCATGCTTGAATTGAGGGCAAATGAAACAGAGGGTGGACTCAATGTGTCCTTGAGAACTTGCCCTGATTTAAAAGAGAGAGCGAGAGTCAGGAGAGATCTGATACCATAATACTAGCAACTTCACAGCAAAACCAGGTCTGGACAGAAGCAAGAGAGCGGGAGCGAGCGAGCAAGGCCCATTTGACAATACCAAAATTGGGTTTGCAATCTGAACGTCACTTTATCTCCATGTTGTCCTTTCCTCCGCCGCTTTCTCACCGACTGGATAAAGTCCCACAAAAAAACAAAACAAAAAAAACCTCTCAGTTCATCGTCTGCTAATGTCCTCGGGTTCCTCGGTTGAACAGGGAAATTATTGCTCACAGCGCTGGGCTATTGCTCTCCAGTTTGGCTTTTATTGAGTCAATCGATCGTTACTTCGCTCTATCTCTCTCTCTCTCTCACTCGTACACATACACACACAGAGCTGGAGGGAAGGTTAATAGCCACTGGACACACAGGAGAGGGTTTGGGGAGATTGCTCAGGAAATGGAGCATGACTTTGGAGCACACATGAGGGGGCATATGCGCGCCACATTCGTCCTTGTGTTCTTAGCGTCAGGTAAATACACCGCACGTACACGTTCCCCTCCCCCCATCCTCAGAGGGACTCTGTTCCTTCCTCGCCTTCCACTCAATCAGCAAGAATTTGTGTCTAATTCACAGAACAGGATCTTGCTCTCATCATTAGCACCAAAGCACACGTTCTCCTCCAAGAATCCAACTTAATGATCTTCTGGTTTTGCTCCTCATAATCGAATGCCTCTAAAGCCGTCTTCCTCTCCACAAGCTAACTTCAAACACCGAGCTGCTCTCAGGATTTTCACAGACTCTCGCAGTCAGCGAATCGTCTTCATCCCAAATCTCGTCTTGCATAATCAAACTTTCTCCAGACTTTCTCATGCTACACATTACAGGAATGCTCCAGGCTCAATACAAGTTAAGCGCAATGAACAGCACTTGTGGCATTATGTTGATTTAACACAAAAATTAATTTTCTCTTGTCCCCCCTTTTCTCTAAAGAAAAAAAAGTAGAAGAAGCAAAAATCTGGGTTACAGTGAGGCACTTAAAATGAAAGTGATGAGGGCAAATTCAGAAATCTCAAAATAGTCTTTCTTTAATAAAACAGCCACAAGATATAAAAATGTGCATGTTAAAATGATTTTAGTGTAAATATGGTTACTAACTTTTTTGGTATAAAAGTGTATTCAATTTTACTTTGGCAACTTGCCATGACAATGAAACAGTTAAAACCATAAAAATGATTAAAAAGGGTAATTTAAACAGCTTTACTGCTATATTAAAGCTGTTTAAACAGAACAATAAATGTAAATGTTTTATCAAATTAAAAGCTTCGAATATCTGCTTGAAAATCGTTTAACAATTTGCCCTATTCATATCCATTTCAAGTGCATCACTGTAACCAAGATTTTTTTTTTTTTTTTTTTCTGAAGAAAATTAGGAAAAGGTTTAAATGCATTTTTAGTTTAATCAACATTATGCCACATCTGCTGTTAATTCAATTCAATTGAACTGGAATATTCCTTTAATATTCAACTTGCTAAAAACTTTCATTGAGACACATACACGTACCATGCTTCAACATGCTAAAAACTTTCTGCAACATGCGCAAACCCTCACTAACATCCACTATACATTCTTCTGACTTCCTGTTGCATTTTCCAAAATATGTTAAGTCCTTTGATTTAAATGTTAGACAAAGATTTGTTTTGCTGTTCAGATGTTTAGGGCACAGCTCAAGGAGATTATGTCTATGTGAACACAAATAAGAATCAACAAATGACCTTTCTCAGACAGAACAACAGCAAAATCAAAGTCGTGAACCTATCACACATACAGCCACTCAAGCCATACCTTCTACAGCCCCAGCAACTGCTATTGGCCCACAAATGCATGTCATCATGAAAGAGGAGGTTGCTTCCCTTCTGTAGGACAAAAGGGCACCATTTGGAAGCTGGTTGACCAATGCTTTACTCAAACGCACACATGGCAAACAACTTACAGAGTGTGGCGTGTGTAAACTGATAAGATGCCTGTGGAATTACAAAGAGATCCTGGATGTCACAGCACATCCTCTTGGTTATGTGTCAATTATGAAACCTGGAGAGGGTCATCAGTCAACATCTCCAGGCAGATTAAAATGCCCAAACTCGACCGAGCCATTAAAATTATCAACTGTGGTGTGCGAGCAAGTGCGTTTACATATGTGTGCCCAGACTGCCACACACACACACACACACACACAAATAAATAATGGAAGCAGATGTTCATTTCACATCGTTCTGTCTCTTTCACACTCTAATACTCACGTCTAAATGCACACAAACACTGCGTCATTGATCGGCTCACCACAATTTAAATTTGCATATTAAAATCTCTCGTCCGAGCTGCTTGAATGAGCTGAACGTTCCTGGGAAAAGGAGTAAATAATTCAAGCAATCATGGCTGGACTCCATGTAATCCCCTGTAAGAATTCCATCAAAGAGCTATCAAACAACTGCCCCGAATAATCTTCACTCGTTTGCCAATGATACGGATGCCGCTTCAAGCCCACTGGCCATTAAACATGAATAGAGTCGTCACAAGAGAATTTAGTTTAGTTTTTTTTGGATCTTACAATCTGCAGGTGTAGCCATAATTAAACCAAAAACAGATGTGTTTGAGTTGTGGATTCAATCTAAACTCATTATCATCATCATCGGGTTGTTTTTGAGAATATCAGACAGTGTAAAAAAGTAGAACTACAGAGTTATGTTTAATTTCAAAAGCTGCCCAATCACATATTCTGCACGACGCCATTGGCTTCCCTGGCAGCGGCCCAGCAGGAATCAATCAACACCTGCTGACCAATAGAACTGGATCCTCCTTGAATGGTCCAATAAAAACAAATTTTACTGTACTCCTTCCCATAGTTATGACTGGCACAGAGCAGCCTTTGGCAAAGTGGTGGCAGGAAAAAAATGAACCAGCGAGGGTCTCATCTGCTGGAATCATTATGATGATATTGGATAATAACCTCTCTCTCCTTCGCTCTTGTTCTTGCACCAAAACTCTTTGTTCAAACAAAGAGAAACCGTAGGGAAAGAAAATTCAATTGAATTCTTCAGTTAGGATGGATATTGTTTGCATTTTTCGCCTGACACTGTGAGAGAACTCAAGTAGGGCATGTGGGGGCACAGAAACATGTTTAGGGGGGGGGGGGGGGAATTCAGGTGTCATGCCGGGTCAGTGGAAATATATGTGAGCTAGTTCGACAGAGAGAGGCAGGGATTCTCTGCTCATCTGTCTGATCTTGCCCCATTCAAAAACCCACAGCTAACAGCCGCTCACACAGCTCTTCCTGCCCTCGCTGCATGAAGTAAAATGGAGCTCTCAGTGTCTATGTAGTCCCTCACCCTCCCTGCGTGTGCCCCCTGTGCTATGAAGCGTCAGCACTGGGGGCCTCTTTCCTGCCGTTCTGGTGAGACGGGGAGTCTGAAGTCTTTACGGTTTTGCGTGGAGGACTCTGCTCCGCTACGAGCGCATGCAGTGAAGGTTCCTTGTACATGGCCACTGAGGGAACAAGAAGAACAAAGACACACTGATGTTTTTTAAAGCAACAACAGAGTAACTAAAGTTATAGTCTCTGGAATAGTGCAATGTAAAACTTAAAGAATCTGCCATTGAAAAACCCGTGTTTGGACCACTAATTGGAATATTGGGAGGGCCATTAGCTGGTACAAAACTAATTATTATCTAGTATAAGATGGCCAAAGTTGGATATAAGCTCATCTATGACATCTGGTACAAGCTGGATTTTGACTGGTTTAAGCTGGTGCAAACTGGTTGTTAGCTGATCTAAAATGGTCATTAGCTGGCTCAAGCTGGTCAATAGCCAGTCCAAGCAAGTTATTATCTGGTTTGGGATAGTCAAAGCTGGATATTGGCTGGTCTATGCTAGGTTATTTGCTTGTTCAAGTTGGTGTAAGCTAGTTGTTAGCTGATTTAAGATGGTTATTAGCTGGCGCAGGCTGTTTATTAGGTGGTCTAAACTAATTATAAACCTGCCTGATATAGAGCAATCTGGTTATTATCTGGTCTAAACTAGTGCAAGCGGGTTATTCACTGGTCCAAGCAGGTTATTAACTGCTCTAAACTAATTATTGTCTGGTTTAATCTGGTGCAAGTAGGTTATTAGCTGATCTAAGATCAGCTGGTACAAGCTGGTTATTAGGTGGTCGAAGCTGGTTACAATCTGGTCTGAGTTAGTGCAGGCTGATTATTATCTGGTTTAAGCTAGTGCAAGCTGGCTTTAGCTGGTGAAAAATGGTTATTAGGTGGTCTAGGCTGGTTATTATCTGGTCTGAGTTAGCACAAGCTGGTTATTATCTGGTTTAAGCTAGTGTAAGATGGCTTTTGCTGGTGCAAACTGGTTGTTAGTTGATCTAAGATGGTCATTAGCTAGTCTAAGCAGGTTATTATCTATCGTGAGATAGTCAAAGCTGGATATTGGCTGGTCTATGCTAGTGCAATCTGGTTATTTGCTGGTTTAAGTTGGTGTAAAGTAGTTGTTGGCTGATTTAAGATGGTTATTAGCTGGCGCAGGCTGGTATATTAGGTGGTCTAAACTGGTTATTAACTTGCCTAATCTAGTGCAAGCTGGTTATTATCTGGTTTAAGCTAGTGCAAGCTGGCTATTAGTTGGTGCAGAATGGTTATTAGTTGGTTATTATCTGGGGCCAGTTGCATAAACTTAGCCTCTATGTTAAGATAGTGTCTTAAGAACTAGTTTGACCAACTAGCAGTTAACCAAGGGGTAATCAGTCTTATATTTTGGATTCAGCTTAGACTAATCTACGTTTTTATGTAACCAAATGTAAAAAATTGTTACCAGTTTTTAAGAAAAAAATTGCTGACTAACTTTTAAGACTAGTCTAAACTTTTATGCCACCGGCCTCTGGTCTAAGATAGGGCAAGCTGGCTACTAGCTGGTCTAAACTAGGGCAGCTGGTTATTAGCTGGTCCTTAGCTTGTCTAGGCTGGTTATTATCTGGTCTAAGATTGGTTGGTTACTAGCTGGTCTATGCTAGTGCAAGCTGGTTATAAGTTGGTCCAAGATGGCTAGTCTAAGTTGGTCATTATTGGGTCTAAGCTAGTGCAAGCTAGATATTAGCTAGTCTATGCTAGTGCAAGCTGAATATAATGCATTAGTCAGTGCAAGCTGGTTATTAGTTAGTCTTTGTTGCTTATTAGCTGGTTGGCCAGCCACCATCTTCCAAAAACAATCTTGACCACCTGGTTTGCTAATAGACCATCCAAACTGGTCTACTAGCTTATCGCCTGTTTGGACCAGCTATTGACAAGCTTTAACCAGCTAGAAACTAAAACACAGTTACCCCTTTAAGTTAGATTTTCCATCTGGGAATGTCAGTCTCTGCTAATCTACAGGTGCATCTCAATAAATTAGAATGTCGTGGAAAAGTTAATTTATTTCAGTAATTCAACTCAAATTGTGAAACAATTTATTTCGTCTATTAAATAAATTCAGTGCGCACAGACTGAAGTAGTTTAAGTCTTTGGTTCTTTTAATTGTGATGATTTTGGCTCACATTTAACAAAAACCCACCAATTTATTTAATACACGAGTTTCACAATTTGAGTTGAATTACTGAAATAAATGAACTTTTCCACGACATTCTAATTTATTGAGATGCACCTGTATATTCTGCATCTGAATTAGGGCTGCGTGATTAATCGAAATTAAATCGCAAAGGCGATAAATCGCGATTAGGCAGAAGCTGCAATTGTCATGCTATCTTTCAGTGAAGCACAGTTCTGTGATCAGTAGTGAATCTCCATCTGAAGGCCAGAGGGTGCTCTCGCACTGAAACTCCAAATACACCATGCAGAAGAAATCCAGGAAATCCCTATAGTGGTTGCTGAATAAACAGAAGATTTAAAAGGGTCATAACTACGGCAATATGTGGTTTATCTGAGTTCTTCTTATTATAATTTTCATTAAAATGAAGTATATTTAAATCGACACAGCCTTTATCACTGCTTAGAATACTATGAAATATTGTGTGCCTTATTCTGTGTAAGAAGCCACATAATCTCAAAGAAAGATTTATTTAAAACACTCGACTGACCTTATGAAGTGAGTTTGGAGTAAACACATGTTATTAAATGTGGTATTTTCACGTGCTTTCAGATGGAGCAGCATTTACTACACAGAGCCGTCATTCACTGACAAGCTACGCAAACAGCTTTCATAATCACAGAACGATATCTTCGATTTCATAATTGCACAATAATATCGTCTGCGATTATGAATGCGATTTTGCATAGCTTGTCAGTGAACTACGGCTCTGTGTAGTAAATATTGCTCCATCTGAAAGCACGTGATAGAGATTTACTACTGATCACAGAACCAGCTTTACTGACAAGATGCGCATGACAATCACATTAGATTAATCATGCAGCCCTAATCTGAATGTTTCTCAAGTTTAAACCTGATCTGACCTTCGATGACTTTAGGTAGGAAGTGTGCGGCTGCTTTGGTCTTCTTCACGCGGTTGCCCTTCATCACTTGGCCATCCCGGTTGATGCCGATATACCACGAGCGTCCAGACTGGCTTTGGCGGTACAGCATGGAGGAGTACGTCACATAGTAGTTCTCAAACACACTCTCTTTGAATTTGCATTCTGGGTTGAAATTCTCCTGCCAAAGAATGAAAAACACAAATATGCTAATAAATACAGACATCTGTAATGCATGCACATACATGTATGAGAAAATGAAAGATGACAAAGTTAGCATGTTTTTAACAGAAATAACATCACACCGTACTTTTGATTGGTTGCTCTGCATCTGTAGAGGGTAAGCGGAAATCCCATCATGGTGCTTCTTTGAAAGCAATGTTCTCCAGAGAGCAGGAGGTAGATTATTCTACTCATAAACTGCATTCATTTGCATGACTGATGAATTTAACACACCCAAAGGTACTCTGAGATTAGAGAAGCAGCGAGCTCCACTCAACATATGTACCGGCATGCAAATGTAAATGCACACACTTGAAAGCAGAAGCCACCAATCTATAGATACTCAAAATGTCATGGCCTGCGATGAAGAAAAACACATTTCGCTTTCAACCTAAAACTTTAATTTAGCCCGTTCTGAACATAACCTTGCCTTTCCCATTCATCTCCCTTTCACTTAGAGCCCTTCCCACCAATCCAAGCCACTAAAGCCAGGTGACTGTAACCAGGAGCGACATGTATACATCTCTCTTAGTCTTCGTCAGGGTCCTTGCCCTGTCAGAGAGCAGACCCAATCAGCAGGATTGATTTACTGAGGGTAGCCAAGCAGAAACGGCTGACTGAAGTCTTTTGGCAAGCCACCGGAGATTGAGAGATTCGGACTGAGTGAGGGAAGGAAAAACGGAGAAGATGCTGGGGTCTGGAGGTGGATGAAAGGGTTATGGGAGTTTTTCTTCCCCGATCTTAAGCAGCTCAGCTCGAGTTGAGTGAAAACCAGCGAATACGTCCAAATTTCTGCCTGTCTGCTTTTAGTCTATGCAATGCTCAGGATTTTTTCATAGATTTGTCTTCATCAGCTCTCTCGTTCTTTTTCTTTCACTTATTTTATCCAACCCACCCTCCCTTCCTCTTGGTCTATGCATCAAACTAAGCAGCTTTTGCCTCACGTATTTGATGTCCTCAAAATCTCACAGACGGAGGAGATCAGTAGATGATCAGCCTCATGGAATACTAATAACAATCTAATCACGTGAATCGAGTTACCACGGCCACCGGGAAGGACATCGTCACATCCAACCTCACATTTTCAAGTTCAGTCTTCCAATATATAGCCCCAAAGTTGATCTTTGTCCTGTTTTACAACATACATTACATTATAGCTTGTGGTGGTACCATCTTGAGACATTAAAAACTTGACCTCCAGGAGTTGACCTGAGGACAACCTTAGGATTTTAAACATTTTGATGCCAAGGACCCCTAAATATGTTAGGAAAAAGTCTGTGAGAAAAAAAATATATTAAGTGTGATATTATAAAGACTACAAGATAATTGTTTCCAAATTTGAAATGCATTTGAATTAAATTTACATTTTTATTTATATTTATTAATTTTTCAAGCAAATTGTCATTATTAATATTCTCTAAAATATCTTCTATTTATTAAGCATATCTGAGATTAACACTTTAAAATAGTTTTACCATATATAAATAATAAATATAAATGTATACAAATATAAATAATTTAAATAAAGTAAATTTAAACAAATTCTGTTTTCAATCAGAACATAACACACATACACACACTTCATTAATATCTTAAGTGTTTCAGTATCGCATTAACATTGATATTTGTATAAATTTATATTATGTCAGATATAAATGTATGCAAAACACACTTATAACATACTTTAAATAATTTCTATATGATATAAGAAAAACGAATATGTATAAATACACACACACACACACACACACACACACACACATATATATATATATATTGCTTAATACTCAAGACTGTACTACCAAACCCTTATGATTTCTGCACTTTACAAAGCAATATTGTAATAGTATCATATTTGCTGAATGTAAAAAAATAAATAAAAAACAACAACAACAACAAAAACTTCATAATTTCCTTAAAGGTACAGTAGGACATCTTGGAAAATGCTAACTTTAGCCTCATAGCACTGAAAGCGAAAGTCCCACCCTCCCTGCAAATCGGCCTACAAAGCCACGCCGCCTGAATGCATATGCACACACAGACCAGACAACCAGAGACAACATTACTACAATACATCATGTGTCATTCACTGGTGAGAAAAATTTATAGTACAGTTAGTAAAAGTACTACAATACCAGGAAGGAACAGGGTGCTCGGAACAAACATTTCTTGGTCCTACGCCTTCCACAGAATATATAAATACTAGTGGTGTCAAAATTAACGCGTTAACGCAGGCGATTAATTTTTTCAGTTCAACGCGTTAAAAATATTTAACGCAATTAACGCAGGGGTGGGGCTAGGGTTGGCCACCCCACTCACAACTGCTGCTTCTGTCACTTTTTCTCTTGACAAGAAGTGCATTTATTTAGTCGCAGAACGACTGAGAACGGGAGACGTTTCAGACGCGCGCTCCACTTCACTTCAGCGCCAGGCGCAAGTCAAGCGAGCGCGGAAACGGTACTGTGCTCGCAGCGCGTGCTCTTCAATTGCGCGCACAAAGGCTCCGGCGCGCTGTAGCCTGTATCCTTTCATATCAAAGCGCGAAATAAACTACGTGCATGCAATGTCGTGGTCAGTTAAGTCATGAAGTTACCAAAATGGCAATTAAAGCTGCCTTAAAACTGTGCATGCATGTAATATATTTTATACGCGTCACATTTCAAGAACATGTCTCTGAAATGGTTTTCAAAACTGTCCTGGAGCAGCCCAGCACTGTCACACTCATCTAACACACCCGGTTTAACTCGTCAGCTCATTAATAGAGACTTTAAGACCTGAACTGGTCATAAAAGGTAAAAAAAGATTTGAGAGAAAATATGATGCTTGTCAGAACCACGTCACGTTGAGCAGCGGCAGCTCTTAAAGAAATAACCAAAATAACCTAATAACCAGCTGCTGTAATGTCTATTAGTGTTTGATAATTTAAATTTCTGTATATTTCTGCTGAAGGGCACAGGTAAATATGACATTTATTATAATGGGTTTATGTTTTAAGTTCACTTAAATTAGAAGTTATTTTTTAAAGTCTAATAAATGTTCAGATTGATTGCTCTCAATTATACTGTAATGTTGAATGGCTATAGTCAATGGTTAAATATTGGGAGGGGGGCAATTTTATAGAGAAATCAGTATTAGTATAATTGATACTGGCCTTCAGTCATAAAAAAATGGCATTTAACAAATATAAAACATATACTGTCTTTATGTTGTTTGTACATTAATTTGAAGATTTAATGTGAAATTATTGCAATATAAAAGTATATTTAAAAACTTTAATGTTAGGTGGGATTAATCTCGATTAATCGCGATTAATTTCAGAAAAATGTGCGATTAATTAGTTAATTTTTGTTATTGATTGACAGCACTAATAAATACTAGGGCTGTCCTCGACTAAGGATTTTTCTGGTCGACTAGTAGTCGTTAATTTGAAGCATTAGTCGACTAATCGCACGCTTAATAATAAACCATTTAAATCATTATAATGAGCCTTTATTTGCCTACATAGCCTAATAAGCGCTCAAGTACACGCATAAAGCTTGCCACAGCGCACCGGCAGAAGTAATGATTATAAATATGTCAGTGAAAAACAGTAAGGAGACTGCATTAACATTTTAATAATTTGTTGATACACTGGTTTCTTCTTTGGTTTTACTAAGCGACTAATAACATTTGGTTGACCAAGCCTCTTCTGGTCGACTAACGGTTAGTCGACTATTAGGACACGCATAAAGCTTGCCACAGCACACCGGCAGAAGTAATGATTATAAATATGTCAGTGAAAAACAGTAAGGAGACTGCATTAACATTTGATAAACTAGTGCTTTCTTTGTTTTCAGCTTCAGAGATGAAGTCGGCGACACCGCCTCGTCATCTCCGCAGTAGTGATGCGCCTGTATGCATGTTTCATATGGATTACATAATATGACAATTTGTTTTCCATTTGAATGGTTTCATTTTAAAGTAGACATTTATAGATATAGATATGTTTTTAATGTCTGTAAGGCAAAAATATACACGGAGTTTCGCGCTCAAGTTCACAGACCGAGACGGCAGAAAGCACATCCTGTTTGCTTTCACATAAGCGCGGTATTATGCTCACACAAATACACACACAAAAAAATGTAGAGTCTTTACAGATTCGAAAGATGTATTAGGAGTATTTTAAGATCAAATGAGCGCACCGGCGCCTCCATCTGTCCTGCAGTGAGCTACTGTTCAGCTTCCACACTCTGCACAAACACTTGAACAGCGCACATTCCTCTAGGTTAACATTAGACTGAGCGGCCATGTAAAGCTGCTAATAGGCTATTACATATTTCAGATGATAAGCCATATGTGAGGTCGATGAATGATAGAGGAGCGTTTGGATGTCCTGCCCGATGTACTGTATTACCAAAGACTAGCCGTTAACGATCTGTCCGTCACTGACTGTGTGAAATCGCCTGTGGATTTTTTTTTCTGCGACTAAGCGACTAATAAAATTTTGGCCGACCAAGCTTCTTCTGGTCGACTAACGATTAGTCGACTATTAGGGGGCAGCCCTAATAAATACATATACATACATTTAGACCACGTAACTTAATGATTGCTATCGGAATGTGAAGAGACTTTCAACCAGCATAACAAAAAATGTTTCTGAAGACAATCACCTATTGCACCTTTAAGTGCATACATTAACTTGCATTACATTTTTTTTCTGTTAATTTTTTTACAAACTCCCTAGCACCCCCTTGCGGCCCCCTTTGAGGTTCTGGACCCCAGTTTGAAAACCCCTGACCTAGATGGCCAGCTCCAATCTGTGCTTGGGAGAGTTAGCATTGAGTAGCCATGATTACAGGCTTAAATGAAAAGCTAATCCTTTCGCTCTGACTCATGAAGGAGTTAAACAACCTCCTTCAGCTCGCGTGTCTTGCGGAATGGGTTGGAATTACATGTGGAGAAAGAGGTAATATCTGGCCT